TTAATAAAATTTCTTCATTTATGGGTCCGAGGATAGTTTAATTCGGGATAAATTGGAATTTAATATATTTACAAAATATCGAAAAATTAAGGCCAAAGCCTCTATTTGCACCCTCCATTTATTTCTTTTCCGTGGTCAACACCTTCCAAAATTTTTCCTCCCTATTCACACCCTCTACTTTTCAAAACCTGTAAAAAATCTAATATTTTAACTTGCCGTTACGAAACCGTTAATAACCGTTAAAAATTGTAATAGGTGGCATCAAACAGTAATATAATCGTTATGTCATCGTTATGTCATCTTATTACTCCAATGTAAACATTTTCTTTATGACATGGCATAATTAAATAATAATTTATTTTAATTTTTTCATTTTCTTCTTTCCCGACATCATCTGTATCATCTTCCTCTTCGTCCTCCTGGGTTCCTCATGGAATTAGGAACCAAGACGTTATGTCAAATTTATAAATCCATGTGGATTTTTTTTTTTTATAATGCATTATAATTAAATTATAATTAATTTTAATTTCTTCATTTTTTTCATTCTTGGCATCATCTTCCCCATCCTCGTCTTCCTCATGGAACCCGGGTTCTGAGTTCCTCATGCAACCAATTTCACATGAATACCTACTAAACTAAGATTTTCATCCACACAATTATAAGTAAATGAATACTGCATAAAAACAAATATGCATCTTTTACCCCTTTCCCACAAAAAATGAAAAAACCATTATTGCCATTCATGTTAATCCTACTTGAACTCAAATTGGCAATTGGCAACCTTTTCAAAAACAATCTCCAAGCTCCAAGCAAAAAAACTCACCTTTCCAACAAAAAAATTATTCCAAATTGTTTTGCATAAAATAGAAAACTAAGATAAATATATTCAAAATAAAAAAAAATGGTCGGAAAACCCAGATCTGGGTTCCATGCGCAGGAACCCAGAATTGGGTTCCACGCAGGAACACAGAACCGGGTTCCTGCGCAGAACCCAGAACCGGGTTCCTGCGCAGAACCCAGATCTGGGTTCTGCGCAAGAACCCAGAACCATTCTGGGTTCCACGCCAGGAACCCAGAACTGGGTTCCACGCCAGGAACCTAGCCGCATCATAAACCAAAAAAAGAAAAAAAAAAAAGGTCTAGGTGATATATTTATATTGCTGTTTAGTACCACAAGTAATATAATTTTTTATTGATTTTACTGTACATGTGGCATCCACGTATGCAAAAAATAAGTCACATCATCAACAAAAAAGATCTATATTGGATTACTACTGCCACGTAATGTCACGTTAATTTTTGGGTACCACGTAATGCATTTTTTAACGGTTCCGTAACAGCAAGTTAAAATATTGGGTTTTTTACGGGTTTTGAAAAGTATAGGGTGTGAATAGGGAGGAAAAATTTTAAAAGGTGTTGACCACGAAAAAAAAATAAATTGAGGGTGTAAACAGGGCTTTGGCCAAAAATTAATACTGAAAAAAACCTTTCAGTTGGCCATTGTTAAAAACGTCGCTTGTCTTTAGCTCGCTTGCTGCTGCTGCTGCTGCAGAAGCCGTGACTTCAGTTTTCGTCTTCAAGGCTCCCAGCGATGAAGAACCTGAACTCTTACAATCTGAAGAAGACGAAGACGATGAAGAAGCAGGAGAAGAACAAGGCAGTGAGGAAGCTGAAGACAAACCATCAAACTCCAAAGGCCAAAAACAATTCCCGTGGGACTTCGCTTCATATTCTGAATCCGTAGCCGAAGATCACGCTCACCATGGCACCACCTCCGTCGATTTCAAAATCTCCGAAGTCCTCCATCAAAGCTCCACTCGGGTAGACGACGAGCCTTCCGATTCTGAACCTGACAAACAAGTATCTCTCTCATTAATCCGCTCAGTAATCTTAATTCTAATTCTTATTTCTGGAGAATTCGAGTTTTTATTTGAGATATTGTTTTAACAGGAGGATTATAGATCAGAAGATGAAGATGATGACAAAAGTAATGCCGGCAACAGCAAGTCCTTCTTTGGTCCATCTGAGGGAGCGTCGTTTCATGCGAATTCGTTTATGGAGCTAAATCTTTCTCGTCCTTTGTTTCGTGCTTTAGAGGCTATGGGATTATACTAAGCGTACTCCAATCCAAGAATCCTTTTAACTTATCATTTCTTTTTTTTCTTTTTTCTTTTTTTTTTATACTCACTCTTTAATGTTGTTTTTATACTCACTCTTTAATGTTGTGCGTGTAGGCCGCATGTTGTTCATCAAACACTCTCCTCCATCTCCACATTATGTCATCGTTGTATTTTAGTTACAAGATCAAATTAAATAATAATTATTGAACTTATCAAGAAATATTGATAATAAAATATTAACAAAATAGATGTGAAAAGCTTATTTGTTTTAAGGCAATTCATGTCTTTGCGGAAAGTAAATCAACTAATGCAACAGAGATATATTTAACATGTTGCCCCAAGATATTATAGTTTTATAATAAGACTTTATAAATCTGCACTACTTATAAAATCACTTAATTCAAAACATCGTTTTTTATCAAACATATTTAAAAAATAAAGTAAAGTAAGAAAATAGAAGAATGTAGAGTAACTTCTTTGGTTGAGCAAAAAGATATGTTCTATTTATAGAACTTATGGTCTTATAACTTCCATTTGTAGGTTAATGACATGAATAAATTGAATAATTATTATGTAATAATGTGTCCTTAAATAAGATAATTAACTTACAACGACTAGTTTGATCAAATTCTTAATAGAATAATAAATTTAATTTATATAACTTGCCTACTGGCTCAGTTGGTTAGAGCATCGTGCTAATAACGCTAAGGTCGTAGGTTCGAGACATGCTTGGGCCAATTCTAATTTGAACATGGCCTATGGGCCAAGTGGCATTAATCACACTTGAAGGTTCATTTCCCCCTCTCCCAAGGGCAACGGTTCTACCGGTTCCATGGTAAAAATGTTCAAAAAATAAAAATTTATAAAATATATTATTTTATTTTTTTATTAAAGTATTTAAGTCCCAACAATTCGCTCATTATTTTAATAAAACATAAACCTTTTTTTTGGACAAAGATGGATTATTACGCATGATAAAAATAGTTAAACCTTGAATCTTTATTTAGTAAATCAATAATTCTTAATCCAAAGTCAATAGTAAATTAAGTCTTAAACTATAACCCCATTGGAAGATACAATAATTGTATCACACACATAATGATCCGAATATTGAGTTTTTCACATAACTGACACATTATAGCCTTACACATAATCTTGGTTTTCATGGGTGATCTAGAAAATTGCACATCTAATTTTCATAGAAGTAGCCTCACTTCAACACCCATATAGGTGAAATTTGTCACGAGTACTCTCATAACTAAGACACTCCACTCTATGAGTTACAAATTTTATTAAGAGTACGTAACTCAACTCTCAATTTGTTATGGGATGGATGCATCCTTACGTTAAGAATGGGATAAGAAATTTTTTTATTAAATATTGGTGCATCTTTCAACAACAATTTCTTTATGATTCATTTTTCCATTCAAAACCAAATTATTAGAATTCGAGTTGGGTATCCTCATAGGAAGTTTTACATTATTGGGCTTGAATCTTATTTTCCTCGATGAACACTAGACCTTGGATTATGATCATAGTTTTTTTCTTCAACATTTCTCCTTGCCAAAGGCCTAGTTGGTGGTATAGTGGGTAATAAAGAGATTCAACTTATTCTTTTTCTCACTTTTTCACATCAACACACATGTTTACTAGCTCATAAAATTCACATTCACATTTCTCAAATTCTCAATTCATGGTAGCACAATTTTGATATCAAATCGAGTTAGTGAACCACCATTTTCTTTTCATACATGTAGAGACATGTATTTAAGAATTTTTAATTCAAATACCATTATACCTTATTGTATAATGGGAATGTTCATGATAGCATCTCCCTTCTATTCAAGTAAAGTACCTTGTTCTTTTTCATCATACACCATTATACCATAATTGTATAATATGAGTGCATATCACATTTGCTTTATTGAGCACTATTTTATGTTATTATATGATAGGAATGCTATACAAAATTTTAATTAGGTACCGTTGGTCTTATTACCAATAATAATACATGAGGAAAACACAATCCCTCACATTGGAAGTGTCTCAAATATGTGATTTTCAAATTTCTCAAATAATTGAGTTCATGAAAAAACTCATTTTCTCACAAAATTTCATAAGAGCATATTAGCTTATCTCACATTTTATCACTACAAATGGCTCCTCAGTCATGCAAGCTTAAAAAATTTAACTTACATTTCTAGAGTATATGAACCCAAATTTCATGTCCATTTTTAGCAAAATAATTACATGGACCAAATCAAGTAGCTTTTCACTTGGGTTTTTAAAGCTTAACTTGTCTCATAAAAAAACTCAATAATATAGTCAATTAAATTCACATATTTATTCACCATTTTTTTTACCACTGAAAAATAATAATCACCAATTAATTATATATCAATGGTGCATATTAAAACTCATAAATTACACAATAAAAAACGCACTTCTAATTTATAGAGCTTTTATATTCATAATTTCATATTAAAATATATGCTTTACCTATGCTCACGTTTAATTCAAATGGCTAGTATCATAATACTCAATATTATGGGAAAACTCTCACATTGACATGCATGCATTTATCAATTAATAGAACATTAAGGCTAACCATAAGATCCATAGCCATTCAAATATAATTAAGTAACAAATCACCATTGCATATAACTTATGAATAGTCATGTATCTTTATGCCAAATTAATCACAAATTCATATACATGTCAATGCATGTATAATGAAAGACATTAAAATTGCATATACAATGTCTTAACAATTTTTTTTTTTTTTTACCATCCACATGCCATTAATACTAAAGCAAAAATAAATAGCCTACCATTGAAGCATGACCCAATAATTAGATTAGGATCCAAGACCTCATACTTGTTTTGAGGCACCTAAACAAATAATATTTTACTTACACAATGTGGCATAGGTTTCAATTTTGCTCTACATATTGAATTGCATTAAAATTGTTATTTCTCGAGCACTCTCTTCCATCTCCACATCATGTCATCGTTGTGCCTTAGTCACACGATCAAATAAATTAATTATTAGTGAACTTATGAAGAAATATCAATAATAAAATATTACCAAAATAAGCGTGAAAAACTTATTTACCTTAAGGCAATTCATGCCTCTGCATAGAGTAAATTAATCGATTCAGCAAAGATATATTTAGCAAGTTACTCGTAGGATGCTACAACTTTATAATAATATTCTATGAATCTACACTACTCATAAAGTTATCTAACTCAAAACATCCTTATTTGCCTAAACATATTTAAAAGATAAAGTAAGGTAAGAAAAATAGAAGAATATGGAGGAATTTCTTTAGTTGA